AAATGGTAAAGCACTCGATTCAATATTTCCGTCTTCTGAGAAAGCTTTGATCAATTCCTCCTCAACCACACACAGACTTCGTTTTGGAACTAAACATTTTTAAATTTAAAAAATAATATTACAGTCAAACCGCTCATTAGGACACCTCTCTAATACAGTCACCTCTCTAATACAGTCACCTCTCTATATGAACACTCTCTAATATGAACACCTCTCTATTATGGGCACCTCTCTATTATGGGCACCTCTCTATTATGGGCACCTCTCTATTATGGGCACCTCTCTATTATGGGCACCTTTCTATTATGGGCACCTCTCTATTATGGGCACCTCTCTAATGGGGGCACCTCTCTAATGGGGGCACCTCTCTAATGGGGGCACCTCTCTAATGGGTGCACCTCTTCTAATGGGTGCACCTCTCTAATGGGTGCACTCTCAATGGGTGGGGCACCTCTCTCAATGGGGCACTCTCTAATGGGGCACCTCTAATGGGCATCTCTAATGGGGCACCTCTCTAATGGGGCAACCTCTAATGGGGTACCTCTCTAATGGGGGCACCTCTCTAATGGGGGCACCTCTCTAATGGGGGCACCTCTCTAATATGAACACTCTCTCTAATATAGACACCTCTCTAATATGGATACCACTCTAATATGGACATCTCTCTAATATGGATACCACTCTCTTATGGACACCTCTCTAATATGGATACCTCTGTAATATAGACATCTTTCTAATAGGGAGATCTCTCTAATATGGAGACCTCTCTAATATGGGACCTCTCTAATATGGAGATCTCTCTAATAAAGAGACCTCTCTGGCTCTCTAATATGGCCATCTCTCTAAAGTGGACACCTCTCTGATACAGACACTTCTCTAATATGGACATCTATCTCATATGAACACCTCTCTAATAAAGACACCACTCAAATATGGAAACCTATAATATTGACACCTCTCTAATACAGACACCTCTCTAATATGGACATGTCACTTATATAAAGACTCTAATATATGGACATGTCTTCAATACCAACAGCTCCCTAATATAAACAGACAGGTTCAGTAAAAGTTTCATAGTAAACACTACCATTGTTGTTTGAAGTGTTAGTTTCCTGCTTTTCAAAAGTGCACCAGACAACATTTGTAATTGGAGTATCAACAGTAAAAGACTTGCATAAAACTTTTGAGTTTCCAGAACCACGACTCCATACTGCCGTACAACTGCAAACATACACCTACAACAAAAAAGTTAGAGAACTCAATTCCATTTTTTTTTTGTAAAAATATGACAGTCAAGAGAGATCTTTACAACACAATTTTGACAGTTGATCTTCTAAATTGATCAATTCAGGCATGCTTGACGGGGGCATGCCTGAACTTGCACTAAGGTTAAAGTAAGTGAAATAATAATTAATCAAATCATTATGCAGATGTGTCTTTTGATGTGAAGGAGAATATGTGTTTGTGTGTGCTAGAGCTATGCGGTTAACAAAAGATTCAATCAGTCATGTTCTTTTCTTAGCACCAGAAACGGCATCAAGTGTGTGAAAAGGAACCAATAGTTCACTTCCGGCCAGTAAGGAAATTGTGTCACTAAGGAAATTTCCTTAAACTGATGAAAAATTATATGAAATTTTTAAGGAATTTCGAAGTAATTTTAATTTATGTTTTGTTCTAATGTTACCAAAGAATGCCCTTACTTGGCCTTTAAAAAAGGTGGAAACATAGACATTTCTTTTGTGATAATTTTACGTACTTCAGAATATTTCTCCAGTCAATCCCATAATCAACAGAAATGTTTTTGTTTCATTTAACTTGTTATAAGTTTTTATTTCGAAGTTATATTACAATTTATTGAGCAAATGGTTTGAATTGTTCTTCTTTAGAAAATACCGAAACCAACACAGAGCCGACTAGGTTCTTCCATCCCAAAAAGAAACAATTTGGACAGCTCTGTAGCCTTTGGTTAGCACTATTTTCCATCCAGCAAACTGACCTGACGTCATTTTCGGAAGATGGAAGAGGTGTTAAATGGCTATGTAACTAACCCAAACCCTACCCCTACTCTAACCCTTAACCCTAACCTCAACCCTAACTCTAACCGAATTAATAAAAAAATCCAAAAACAAACGACTTTAGAAAATCGATAGGGCGGTTTGCTGGATGGAAAAAAGTGCTATCCATAGCCTTTGCTGCGTGTGTGTGTATGTGGAGGGTATTTCATAGAGAGGGGGTTTAACCTATTAAGTGCCAGCACTAACCCACCTGGCCTTGATGAGTAAAATGTCTGGCATTAGACAGCTTAAGAGAACAAAGTGGGTATTGATAAATTTCTTCCTCTAAAAAGCAATGTGTAGCTATTCTAACCTCATCTTCAATGCCATTATTTTCACATCTTGTCAAATGCCAATATTCAGGCTGAAATAAAATATTAGATTAATTGATAAATTACAG